AGATCAGCTGTATGATGTAGGACGAAACAGCTGTATGATGTAGGACGAATCAGCTGTATTGTATGATGTAGGACGAATCAACTGTATGATTAAGGACGAATCAGCTGCATGATGCAGGGCGAATCAGCTGTATGATGTAGGAAGAATCAGCTATATGATGAAGGCCAGGTCAGCTGTATGATGTAGGACGAATCAGCTGTATTGTATGATGTAGGACGAATCAACTGTATGATTAAGGACGAATCATCTGTATGATTGATGACGAATCAGCTGCATGATGCAGGGCGAATCAGCTGTATGATGTAGGACGGATCAGCTGTATGATTTAGTGTAATCAGCTGCATGATGCAGGGCGAATCAGCTGTATGATGTAGGACGAATCATCTGTATGATATAGGACGAATTATCTGTATGATGTAGGACGGATCAGCTGTATGATATAGTACGAATCATATGTATGATGTAGGATGGATTATTTGTATGATATAGGACTAAACATCTGTATGATGGAGGACGGATCAGCGGTATGATTTAGTGTAATCAGCTGCATGATGCAGGGCGAATCAGCTGTATGAAGTAGGACGAATCAGCTGCATGATGTAGGAGGGATCAGCTGTATGATGTAGGACGAATCAGCTGTATGATGTATTACGTTTCAGATGTATTATGTAGGACGGTTCGGCCNATCAGCTGTATGATGTAGGACGAATCAGATGTATGATGTAGGACGGATTATTTGTATGATATAGGAATAAACATCTGTGTGATGGAGGACGGATCAGCTGTATGATTTAGTGTATTCAGCTGCATGATGCAGGGCGAATCATCTGTATGATGTAGGACGGATCATCTGTATGATGTAGGACGGATCATCTGTATGATTTAGTGTAATCAGCTGCTTGATGCAGGGCGAATCAGCTGTATTCTGTATGATATAGGACGAATTATCTGTATGATGTAGGACGTATTATTACGGTTCAGATGTAATATGTAGGACGGTTCGGCTGTATGATGTTGGAAGAATCAGCTGTATGATGTAGGACGCATCAGCTGTATGATGTAGGACAAATCATCTGTATGATATAGGACGAATTATCTGTATGATGTAGGACGTATCAGCTGTATGATTTAGTGTAATCAGCTGCGTGATGCAGGGCGAATCAGCTGTTTTATGTAGGACGGATCTGCTGTATGATGTAGAACGAATCATCTGTATGATGTAGGACGAATCAGATGTATGATGTAGGACGGATTATTTTTAGGTTGTAGGACTAAACAGCTGTATGATGTAGGAAGAATCAGCTGTATGATGAATGCCAGATCAGCTGGATGATGTAGGACGGGTCAGCTGTATGATGTAGGACGCATCAGCTGTATGATGTATTACAGTTAAGCTGTATTATGTACGACAGTTCGGCTGTATGATGTAGTACGAAACAGCTGTATGATGTATTACGGCTAAGCTGTATTATGTAGGACAGTTCGCCTGTATGATGTAGTACGAAACAGCTGTATGACGTAGGACGAATCAGCTGTATGATAAAGGACTAATCAGCTGTATGGTGTAGGACGGATCAGGCATATGATGTATGACGAATCAGCTGTATGCTATAGAACGGATCAGCTGTATGATTTAGAGTAATCAGCTGCATGATGCAGGGCGGATCAGCTGTATGAAGTAGGACGAATCAGCTGCATGATGTAGGACGGATCAGCTGTATAATGTAGGACGAATCATCTGTATCATCTATAACGGATCATCTGTATGATGTAGTGAATTCCGGTCCATGATGCAGGACGAATCAACTGTATGATGTAGGACGGATCATCTGTATGATTTAGTGTAATCAGCTGCTTGATGCAGGGCGAATCAGCTGTTTTATGTAGGACGGATCTGCTGTATGATGTAGAACGAATCATCTGTATGATGTAGGACGGATCATCTGTATGATGTAGTGAATTCCGGTCCATGATGCAGGACGAATCAACTGTATGATTAAGGAGGAATCAGCTGCATGATGCAGAGCCAATCAGCTGTATGATGTAGGACAAATCAGCTGCATGATGTAGGACGGATCAGCTGTATGATGTATTACGGTTAAGCTGTATGATGTATGACGAATCAGCTGTATGATGTATTACGGTTAAGCTGTATTATGTAGGACAGTTCGGCTGTATGATGTAGTACGAAACAGCTGTATGATGTAGGACGAATCAGCTGTATGATGTAGGCCAGATCAGCTGTATGATTAAGAACGGATCAGCTGGATGATGCAGAGCGAATCAGCTGTATGATGTAGGACGGATCAGCTGTATAATGTAGGACGAATCATCTGTATGATGTAGGACGGATCATCTGTATGATGTAGGACGAATCATCTGTATGATTTAGGACGAATCAGCTGTATGATGTAGTGTATTCAGCTGCATGATGCAGGGCGAATCACATGTATGATGTAGGATGAATAAGCTGCATGATGCAGGGGGAAACAGCTATATGATGTAGGACGGTTCGGCTGTATGTTGTAGGAAGAATCAGCTGTATTATGAAGACCAGATCAGCTGTATGATGTAGGACGAGTCATCTGTATGTTGTAGGACGAATCAGCTGTATGGTGTAGGACGAATCAACTGTATGATGTAGGACAGATCAGCTGTATGATGTAGGACGGATCAGCTGTATGATGTAGGACGAATAAGCTGTACGATGTAGGACGAATCAGCTGTATGATATAGAACTAATCAGTTGTATGGTGTAGGACGGATCAGGTATATGATGTAGGAATCTGTATGATATAGGACGAATTATCTGTATGATGTAGGACGGATCAGCTGTATGATGTAGGACGAATCAGCTGTATGCATGATGCAGGATCAGCTGTATGCTATTGGACGGATCAGCGGTATGATGTAGGACGAATCAACTGTATGATTAAGGACGAGTCAGCTGCATGATGCAGGGCGAATCAGCTGTATAATGTAGAACGAATCATCTGTATAATGTAGGACGAATCAGTTGTATGCTGTAGGACAAATCATCTGTATGATATAGGACGAATTATCTGTATGTTGTAGGACGTATCAGCTGTATGATGTAGGACGAGTCAGCTGTATGATGTAGGACTAATCAGCTGTATGATGTGGGACAAATCAGCTGTATGATGTAGGACGAATCAGATGTATGATGTAGGACGGATTATTTTTATGATGTAGGACTAAACATCTGTATGATGTAGGACGGATCAGCTGGATGATGTAGGACGGATCAGCTGTATGATGTAGGACCAATTAGCTGTATGATGTAGGACGGATCATCTGTATGATGTAGGACCAATTAGCTGTATGATGTAGGACGGATCAGCTGTATGATGTAGTACGAGTCAGCTGTATGATGTAGGACGAATCATCTGCATGATGTAGGAGGGATCAGCTGTATGATGTAGGACGAGTCAGCTGTATGATGTAGGACGAATCAGCTGTATGATGTGGGACAAATCAACTGTATGATGTAGGACGGATCAGCTGTATGATGTAGGACGGATCAGCTGTATGATGTAGGACCAATTAGCTGTATGATGTAGGACGAACAATTTGAAAATAATCTATACTACTCAAAATGTTGTGATACATCAATTCAGAAGTTTTACGCACAACTCTAAGAAATAAAAAACAACCATTTTCCAATTACCGTCGAAAAGGATTTTGACTTTACCTTGTCAGAAATATATTATTGTTCTAGCTTGAAATAAACCATTTAGCAGAAATGTTTGTATCATAACCCGTTAAAATGAGCTGGATAGATCCGAGAACTATACATGTAGATTTAAACATAACTTAACGCGAGGCAAGGCGGAATTTGATCCACCGTATTGTGTGTGATGTGAGGAAAACTGTGTCTAATGTTAACAACATCAATAACTAAAACGCAAAACTCGTTTCTTATCATATTTATTAGAACGACTGCTTTGTTGATTCAAGTTCTTTTTTGTCGGAGGAATGTTTGAGCTAGGTGTCGATCTATTTAGGTTATACGCTTTATACATGTTATCTCCAATCGTTTAACTAATAACTTATTCTGATCAAAATAAATCAAAAATATTAGATATAGAACATTAGTTACTTAGCGTCAACTTACAATGACAAACATAGCAATGTGTCTGTTCAGCTCTCTGATTTTGTAAAAATGCACGTAAGCACGAATTTTAATTTATTATAACATGCGCTTTGCACATAAACCTATAAATTCAAGGTGTTTTATTCTAACGATGACATTTACTTAAGTATGCATGTGTATTTAGCTTTTTTCAAAATATGTTTGTGACAATATTTTTACATATTTGTTTGTGATATTGTATTTTTGACAACTGTTAATATCTTAATGAGATATTGTAGTAAAATTTATAAATCCCGTATTCGGAATGAAATGTAGGATGCCAATTGGTAAAGTAACTAAATCCTTGGAGAACCAAGCCGCTTCCTAGAAATAGAACAAAAACAAAAACGAACAAGTAGATTAGTTGCAAATGAATGCAATATAATTAGCAAAACATCCGTCATTAAACCCCTAATAACTTTTCCAAATACTTTTTCTCCAGTATAACAACTAGGTTTTTTGACAAGAATATATGTGAAATAGAATGAACATTAATTATGTTTAGAGTCACTAACAAATTATTGTATAAACTCTTAATTGCGTTCCACTTCCCTCTAGCATTACCGTGCTTGTTACATTTCCACCTTATCTGTTTATCCATGTTGTGAAACTACAGTATTGAACATAACTCCGTTCAGTATGACGCTCATAGGTCAAATATCCGGATAATAACTGGCCAAAACAAGAAGCAACATTGATGTTACTTAAATATACCAAGATCAGTGTTTCTGTTGCGATAAGGGATATACACATTTTTTTAAACCACGTTTACCCGGGCTCGTGTGTGGTTTGTTTAGAGTGTGATAAATGTAGTTGATCGTGTTTCTAAGGCAATATGTAAATAACCCTGATATACAAACGGATGTGTGAACAACTAAATCTAGCGGTTGCGGGTACGGTTCCATCTAACAGGTATGTAACGCGACTTGATCAGTCATTTGATGCAAACGATTGTCCTGTGTATAACAAGACTTTGTGATTAATATTTTGGAATATTAGGATCTAAACAAATTGCATTCCAGTATTATTATGTTGAAATATAGCACATTTAATCCCGCTAGAGACAATATATAGATAGATAAAAAAATGATATAAGTAAAAGTGAAACAGCCTTAATTTGTGCCAGACATTGATGGAATTAATTATTAGGTATATTTATTCAAATTTCAATTTCAACAAATTATATTTCATTTAGAAAAAGGATTTAACAACAGGCATAGACTATATTAGTTCTCTCCTAACGGTAACAATGAGTGTATAAATATATATATACATATGATATAGTATGTTGTTATTTTTAAGTATGAAACAAAAAATGTTTAAATATGAGATATGAGTTTGGAAGTAAGGACAAATTTTAAGAGTTGTCATAATATGTGAAATAGTGTATTCACTATGTTTTCCAAACTTATATTTGTTTGGAGCCTCGAATCCAGCATCTATGACAGGATGCCATCCACTCATGGGATACAGACCAAAAATGTCCATATTGGCTTATTAGCCACTGGTCATCCATCCATGAGTTTTGGGGCCAGTCATGGCTACTGCATTCTGATTTGCATAGTTAACATCATTAAGAAAGAGAGAATTGGGCAGATTTTGATGTGTCGGTGGATTCAAATCAATATTTTGTAACAATTTGTTAATAAGAAGATAAAACAAGGATTTTGCATTCTTTTTAGATTTTTTTTTTTTTTTTTTTAATAAATGAATGACAAAATTGAGTAAACAGAAAGATGCAAAATAAATTGGTCCACCATTATGATATTGTCCTTACTTAGTAATTATTCTATCACATAAAACAACACTGCAATAATTATAATGAATGATACATAGCATACAAAACATACAAAATATTTGCCTATCAGATCAAAAGGGGGAAAGGCGGCCAAAGGATAAAGAAAGGGTGATGATGACACACAATGTTTATGATGTAGAAGCAGTCGTAACTGATGGTTTACATATTTTAGAGACATAATATCAAATCAGAAATATATAATGTATTATATATGTGGAAATCTATGTGTAGCTGTGACAAACTCGGCAGTATATTCAAATATATTTACATCGGTTTGTTCATCACAATCACCACAGCCAGATAGAAGTACAAATGTACATCCAGAGTGTAGTGATTGTGATGGTTTTACGTGGTTCATCATACTTATTACAAATGAGAAAAAAAATGATGTACTGTTTCATGGGCATTACCACAGGTACAAGTTGGTGATTCGGGAAGATGATCTCTATGTAGATCAAAATTAAGGTTACTTGTAGAAGTTGACAGAGTATGATGTTGTATTTTCTATCACCTGCGTTGACATAGGTAAAGTTGCTATATGTGTCTAATAATATGATCACTTACAGCTCTTCTTAAAAAAAAATATGGTATAATGATGTGATGTTAGTCAGGTCAACCCTTGCTGCAAGTTCATGATAATCTTTAAGTGAAGACGGAATAAAGCTTTTGGCATAAGTATTTGTTCTGCACACAGGAATTGTAAAGATTCTTTCATTTCTTAAAAGGTATGAGTTCATATTGTTGAAAAAGGGTTCAATTAATTCAGTTAAATAAGTGGTTGCAGTTCCTGTAAGAATTTTGTATAGAAAAATAAGTCTGTGTTTTTACGTCTTGCAGCAAGGGTGTCCCAACCAAGTTCACAATAAAGTTTATAGTGTGAAGTTCCTTTACGCAGTCCTGTAATTATTCGGGTAGCCTCTATTTGAATAGATTCAAGTAAAGTTGCCTCCTGCTGAGTACAATGATCAAAAATGATATCACCATATTCAAGTATAGGTCTAATATAAGCGATACATATAGTGATAATTAGTGTTTTACGACTCATTTTATATTTTACAGATTTCAAAAAATGTATATGTTTACAAGCTTTATTATAAATATAGTTGATATGGTGTGCCACTTACCATCTTCAGAAAAAAATACACCAAGATGTTTATGAGTTGACACATTTGCTATAGTTTCGTTTTGAAAAATGATATCAGGAAATATTATATTTCTTTTCCGACTAAAAGGTATTTATTTAAACTGTATATCTTTCAGGCTAACATGAAGGGGATTGCCATTGTTATCGTAGTCCTGATATCCGTTACAAGTGAGTATACATTCACTTGTGTCAGTACCTTTTCTTTCTAGATTTAGTCAAAGGTAAAAAATGGTCAATCTTATTTATTTTGGAATTAGTAGAATGCACTTCAGTAAAAACACAATAACTCTACACAGATTTTGGGAAATTTGCGATCATGGTGTGACAAATGAACTTGGTAGTCTCTACTGACGTCATATTAGCATATACAGTTTTAAATAGCTTGTGTTCCCAAACTTCCCAAAGTCTCATGTATGTAAAAGTTTTGTATCATAAATGACTAGTTAAAATGTTTTCTACGATGGCCGACAACGACAAGAGCCTGACAAAAATATATGAATTTTCATATCTTTTTGTACTCTGGTACACTTTTACATGGTACACACAGATATTGAATTAAAATCTGTGTGTACCATGTAAAAGTGTACCATGGTACGCAAAGATATGAAAGCAGAAATAAAATCTACCCGTTGCTTTTGTAACAAAATAACGGCCGAAAACAGCCATGGTACAGAAACATATGAAACTATCAGACGTAAAGGTTACCAAGTATGACAAATTACACCCTGATAAGGCTGTCATCACATACAATGAAATGTTATCGCACGGAATGTCTTGTTATTTTGATTACACCAAATGAGCTACCAAACTATTATTTACTCGTTTAAATTGAAATCAACTGTTCAATATCCTTTACCGAATTTTATAAAAGTTTTACGTTAAAAAGGAAGTCATTATCGATTATTTTTTATTTACATTTCGAATGTATTCTATGCGATTCAACTTCTCAAATGAAAGAAACTCCAAATCAGTTGAAAACGCCGATGGGGTCCGCATGGGACAAGGGGACAAATGAGACAATCAATTTAATTACTTCGAAGGATAAATAGTCTACCCTTTTATATCTTTTGGGCGGGGTGTGTGTGTGTGTGTGTGTGTGTGTGTGTGTGTGTGNGGGGGGGGGGTTACAGATGTTCTTTTTCCCTTTATTTTGGAGACGCTGTCAAGGCCCCAATACATTGTATTTACACAATTGCAACTACCTCTGTTTTTCAGCAGTGATTAATGAAAGGCTTGTTTCGACGTTGTAATTAGGGCTTCACTATTCGGGGTCAGTTCTGGTCATAGTGTCCGATAACAACATTCCGATGCTCTGGTGGTACATTTTTTTCATATCTATTTGTACCGTAGGTGGTACAAAAAGAAATGAAAAAAGTGTAACGCGGTACTAAAAGGAGAGAATCTTTCTTATTTTTGTAACGGGCAAAAGTGTGTACAGAAAGATATGAAAATTCAAATCATTTTGCCGACTGATATCGGCTGTTGGTACATATACATGTGAAAGTAAAGTTGTTTATAATCATTATGTACCATGGTACACTTTTACATGGTACACAAACATTTGAATTTTCATATCTTTGTGTACCATGGTAAACTTTTACATGGTACACAAACATTTGAATTTTCATATCTTTGTGTACAATATGAAAGTGTACCGTGGTACAAAAAGATATGAAAATTCATATATTTTTGTCAGGCTCTTGTCGGCCATCGTAGTTTTCACAATGTAATTTTGAATCAATGACACCATTTTCTTCTCGTCAAAACTAATAATGGCGGGTCGGGTGGCGATCTGACTGTGCGCTCGGTTCTCACCTGCTCGACCACGTGGGTTTTCTCCGGATACTTCAGTTTCGTCCAATAGAAAGAATAACAACCCCTATGCGCTTATGTCAGATAAAAAAAAAAAAAAATGATTGCGAAACGTTGGTAAAAACGGTTCGGTAATTGCTTTAAAATATAATAATGAAAGACGCTTACTCTTCCGGATCGTATGGTCCTATTATCCATGGTCTCTCCAACCTACCTTATGTAGATATTTCATGTGCTCACTATACGATAGTCTTACCGATTTGGAGTTCGAACTATAATCTGTATTAACTTGCTGTTGTCGTTACCAAAAGGGGTATTTCATAGTATAAAATATATAATATATAAATTGTAATAATGTACAACCATACTATTCGTACCATCTGTGTGTGCGAACATACGCCTGTTGTCAGATCATTGGGGAAAGTTTTGTCAATATCAGAGTTAAGTATGTCAAACGGTTACCAAACAGTCCGTACCGCCTTCTAACAGTCGCCAAGTCTCATATTCTACAATTAACCCATACCTGGATTATGTATGAATTTACATGTAAGATTTGATTCGTGAAATCTGTCGTGCGTGGAAAAGCAGCACAAAGAGCAGATGTCAGAAGGAATCTCAAATCATAAACTTAAAAATAAAATAAAATAATGTGTTTTGCGTCATCACGTGTATTCTCATTTCTTCTTATTGGAAATGACCTCAAACCTTGTACACAGGTTATACTAAAAGGAAAAGAGTCTTTGAATTCTCCATTATGAAGTAGGTCATCTGAAATAATTGATGACCTTTTAGAAATGTCGTACATGTACATCTTATCAAAGAATCAATCAGCCATCACTCTCAATGTTTGTCTCTTCTATGACCCTGACTGCAAAGCTTGGACAGGTTGATCAAAGAACCGTTTCTCAAAATTCATTCATACTTTATCACTTTTCTTTCTTCTTCAGTACAAACTTGTCATTCTGTAGTATAAGCATTGAATACACCTATAGTTCATGTGTTCTTCGGTCCTTATCATTTTAGTAGGGAACATATACTTTCACAGAAATACTTTATTCTCAGAAACATTTTGACAAAGTGACTGCCTAAGTACATGGCAAATATATTTATATTAAAACAAGAGGCCCAGAGGGCCTGTATCGCTCACCTAAATGTGTTTAAAATAATTGGTATGAAGTAAAGATATAGCACTCAATGGTAGGTGCTGTAAATACATATTTAATTTCAGAAAGATTTTTCCAGTACTTGAGATATAGCGAGAACAAACTTCAAACAGAGCCCCACCCCTAAGCCTCTAGGGGAGTCATACCCACAATTTATACAAAATTAGGTCCCCTTGGCCCAAGGATGCTCCAGAAGGATAAAATCCCTTAATCCCGATGGTCGAAGAAGGTTTTACCTCTATTTACCCTATTAGGCCCCGCCCTTCTGCCCCCTGGGAGACCACACCCACTGCTTATACAAAATTGAGTCCCCTTGGCCCAAGGATGCTCCAGACTAAATTAGGATAAAAGTTTTTACCTCTATTTCCCCTAATGGGCCCGCCAATCTGTCCCCAGGGGGGAGGGGGCCCCACACTCACTGTTCCCCCAACGATGCTTCTGACCACATTTTGTCAAAATCTATTGGGCCGTTGAGGACAAGTAGCGTTTTAAAGGAAAAGGACGGACGACGGACGCTGCACAATGGCATAAGCTCACTTGGCCTTCGGGCAGGTGAGCTAAAAAAGGGCTGACCATAAACTTCAGATAATGTCTTACGGTGGCCAGAATGAGTGTAATTATCTTAAATTCATGAGCATAGCTCTACCTGATGCCTACAATTTGGACACAGTAGGACCATTCCCTGGAAGCCAAAATGATGTAAATCGTTGCTCGTGGATTTAGAAATGTCCTATCAATGTTAGAGTCATCTGGTATTAATACCAGTACGCCCTCATATTTAAAGACTGGTCAGAGCCAACATTCTGATCTACAGGCTAACATTGACAGAACAGTTACTTAATCCCGATGGATTGTATCATAGCCGGCTTAAGCATTGTATTTTTTTAGAACTCTATTAATACCAAATTGCTTCATTGATATAATTGGTGAAGTGCTAAAGATTGTGACTGCATGAATAAAAGATCACCGGAAACTGACATACAAGACAGAGAACTTGGACATCAAATGAACCTTTTGCCTCAGAGGGTGAACACAACTAGTTCTGTCCTAGAGAGCAAAGTCAGAATTCGTAAGGATTATGAATGATACGTTTATCAGCACTCTCAAGACCTCATCCGTTGTCAGATTTGTTCCAAACACAAAAGCCAGAATAAATATAATGTTTGGATTCAGTACACGACACCAAATGATAATAATCCAATTAAATATTACTATTGCGCATGGTAACTTGGTCTAAGAACTATGGAAATGTGTATTTCTACATCAAACATACTTTATCTGCTGTGAAATACATATATATATAAACAAAGTAGCAACCAAACACAAAATCCAATTCCATTGATAGTTGTCTATGAATCTGAAAAATTATTGGGCAGTAAAATGAATATTTTGGTGGCCATCTTGAAAAGGAATCTATCATCGAATCTTTTCCAAACATCTTCTCTGTTGATTAAATACTCATTCCATCCAAACTTGAACATTGTTTTCTTCTTTTCTGTCAGTTTTTAATCATAATGATTAGACTATTCATATAGTCATGAATTTTTATGTATAGACCATATAGTTATTTGATCCCTTCTTTGAATATGTTCCACCTCATACTTTGGATTGATAGTTTTGTCACTGGTAGTTCAGGACCTAGTCTATATATATCCAAAAGTTACAAAATAATTTTATTCTAAGATGAACCCATTTTTTGTCTGGAAAATGTCATTGCTTGAGATGACTTCTGGCTGTTCATTTATCTGTACATATCTGATTACTAACCAAAGTAAGTTTTTTTATATGTATACTGTAGTACATGATCCATAGTTTTGGTTACGTCATAAATGATCCTTCAGTGCATTGTTAATTTGAAAATATTCGTCTTTTGGGGAAAAACTCCGGCTTTTTGAGAATTTTAGTTTAACGCATATAGGAAAAACCAACCAAGTACTCGTTCGAATTGTAATGGGTGTTTTTGTTGTGATAAGGTTTAGGTCTACATCTCACCAAAAGAAAATTAAAATCAAAGGAGAGGCCAGTTTGGAAACCCCCTAAACGATATATCGATGTGAATGTAAAAAGATATTAGTTAAAAAAAAAAAAAAAGAGAAATATAAGAGAACGTTGTTATACTGTAACTGAATGGTCTATGATCCTGAAACATCCGGTCGAATTTCAAATATATTACAGTCGCCTTGGTTTGACAGGTAAGTATGCAAAATAAAATAAAATAGTTTCTATCTGCAATTAGTCATAAATCGGAACAAGGTTTGAAAAAGTAATTTGTTGCTGAAAAACTAGTTATGGTTATGGTAAGAAGCTGATGGACCAAGGAAGTACATGTTTTAGTATCTATCAGATGCACAACAAGTAAATACTATTCTGCTTAATGGCATATTAACAGCTTCGATCATATACTGTGATTTCTTGCGTATTGCCCATGGACTGTACTTTTTTAGCATTGAACAAATACCCACTGTGGATATCTGGTTGAGATGGCAAAGATGGTGAAGATAATGTTAAAACTTACAACTGTCAATCTGTATACAACATTATGGTAAACACAAACACAACATAAGTATAGTAATTCGCAAGTTTCATCTTCGAACAAATGCATGAAACACTGTTTTATATTTCAAGCAATATATTATATCGTTAATTTGAAGTACATAGTGTTATACTAGGAGTCGCCGTAACTGTTTAAATCAGTAACATGAATGGTGCATTAAGTTAATCAAAGATAGCGAAGTTAAAAATAGAAAGAAGGGCGCTAGGTAGCAAAAAAGGTAGTTGGAAGGCAGAGAGAATTGTAACGGTCCCAGAAGAAAGTGTGGTCGCTTCTGTGTTCACAAGTACCCAGGTAAAGGGCAAACACATCTCAAATTCTGCAGGGGTATACCACATTAATTGCCTCTTATATTATGCATCGGGTAACAGCAGGTGTATTCGTTTCTCGATTCCTGACCTGACATATGATGCAGTATTGCTGCTATTGTGGCTGCTAATTCAATTTAGCAAAATCATGTTTATCGTTTTTGTTTAATAAAAACGATAAAAACAATACAAGAGAAAATTACTTTTTATTATACAATACAGGCTATTTCTGTGTAATATTCCCGTTCAATAATAACAATATAGGACACGTCACTCACAAATGCAAATGAGTCAGGTCACCACCCTACACACTACAACGTCTACGTTTGTAAACAAAATGGCTGACCAAGTTACCGGAGAAACTGTTTGCATTGATGGCAGAGGCAGGGGCACTGTGCAAGAATGAAATTAATAAACGAGTTTGATAAATTCAGTATTACATGAACACGAGTATTAGATTCACACAAATTCAACAGCTGCATGTTTAAATTCCACTTGATTTTCTACGACATACACAATCATTGCCGAACACGTGTTACAAGTCAACTTCATCAGTGTTCCAGTTTCAGGGCGGATTCCACAGTATATTATTTGGCTCAGTGACAGGTAGAAACATGGGGGTTCACATTCACCAACAACCCCCTCCAAAAAAACGCGCCTTTGTGATAGAGTGTGACAATCGCTTCAAGTCCCTGTAAATTAAAAAAGTGCAGATTTCGATGTGTATTTTGATGACCCTAACTTTGACAGTGCACACGCCGTTGTGCCAAATATGTGACGTCACTGCTATTTTGTTAATCGTCAATCCGTTGAATTGTTTTCGTATAAAAAAATAATATTTAATGTTGTTATAATACTTATTAAAACATTGATTGATGAAAAGAGTTGAAATGATTGTTTGCCCATGTGAAAGGTTCATGGGGGGAAACGTCTCTGGAACTATTTTTGTGGCCCAGCAAGCTCCAAACAAAATGCATGTAATGCGTCCTTTCGTCAGTCATCGGTATATAGAGAAAGCGTATCGGGATCAATTATATATGCCGGAGTGTTTTTTCGAATAACATAATAAATAAAATGTACCACTCGTCAGATCGTTTATTTATCGATCAAAAAGAAATAAAAAGGATTTTCTGTTGTGATTGTGTGTATTACAATTCGATTCATCGAACCTTTTTTTAAAGTAATCTAGAGTAAACATCAACCACTAAAACAAAATATCACTGTTTAATTGTGCATGCGATAGTAAAAGAAACGTTTTAAATTTCAGACGGATTGGATTTTTGTTCATCGAATCAGAAAGAAAAGGCAAAATGTGGGAGCAATGGTATATGTAAAATGCCAACATGTACGAACGTAACAACAACAGCAGCACCAACAACAGCAGCACCGAAAGGAGCACCAACAAAAGCAGGGAAAATATCACCAACAGCAGCACCACCAACAGCAGCACCACCAACAACAGCAGCAACAACAGCAGCAACAACAACAGCAGCAACAACAACAACAGCAGCAACACCAATAGGTGCGTTTTACTTTATTTGTTTACATAATGTAGTTGAGTTCTTACATTGCTCAATGTATTAGACATTTTCAACTTGATGCTATATACCCACAGTCAAAATCGAAATATAAATATCTCTGTAATTGAGTCACTGATGTTTATCCAGCGTACGTAAAAATCAAGTTCGCAAAATTAATATCATGTGAAGGGACCCCTGGCATTGATCAAAGTCCCGTAAGACCGCCCTCAACTGGTACAAAGTTTGAGGCTGATGACGTCAATTTCTCACTCTTCGGTCCAACAGATCAAATATGTGCTCTATGGGATTGAGATATGGGATATGCGATGGTCAATCAAGCAAATCGATGTTCTGTTAAAGGCGAACCCCTCGTTGACGCGTTTAAGATGACCACGTGCGTTATCTTGCTGAAACTTGCCAACATTTGTCACCATGAATGTGGTATCAAGATCCGCTCTAAGGAAATACCCTATTTGATGATTTTCGAGAAGGAGGTTAGGAAGTTCCAGATATGTTCCCATATAGTTAATAATTTAACCTTATGTAAATGAAGAAATGTTTAGATCCAAACAATCATGCTGATTAGAAAAGGTTCATATATAAATGATATAGAGCATATTGGAAGGGATAGGATCAGGACTTTAACAAGACTTGGACTAGGGGAGTCAATTACCAGATACATTTTTGGGAAATGTTGGAAAAGAATTTAGGGAAATATGTAAAGCCTCTTCTCGCAGCCCCTGAAAATAATCTCTCCCAGCCTCTTTGGTTAAAAAAATTGTCTGCTTAAAAACGTATTAATAATGGTGTTTTTTACGTTAAAGACTTAGTTGATGAGTGTGGCAGTTTACTGTCATTTGATTGCTTTGATCAGAAAAAAACATGTATATATTAATTTCATGAATTTTAACAGCCCAATAAGCGCTGTACCAACAGGCTGAAAATGAATGATTGTCGCCTATGGAAAAATATTGAAAATGTTGTACATGGTAATTTGCGTTTGCAGAATATCGACATCCCGTCAAAATAATTTTAGTATATCCTCAACAATCCTATGAAAGATGACACACTATCTTTGCTATTTCTCTGAATCAAGACGAATTGGGAAACCATCAATGTCCTTCCATTTCAGAATGTTTCACAGAATTTTCTTTACAAATTCCTTCCCTTTTAAGCGCAAGTAATTAAAGCATGAATAATGTAGCTTTTGTAGTAGTGCAACAGAAACATTACAATACCTTTTTTGGGATCGTACTCACATTCAATTACTATTGTTATGTTTTATCAGTAGATGATAGCTTTAAAATTATTTAAAAGAACAAACCTGCTACTTTCTTTTTAGCATTTTTGAAAATGTTCATGTGACAGGTTTAAATATCTGCATTCTGTTGATTAAAAATGTATCTTTAATACTATACAATTCCTTATTGGGAATCTTATAAAATATTTATTAAACATTATAGAAATTTATAATTATATTTGGTCTACATGTTGACCCAGAATGCAGCGAACAAAATCCGGCAAAAATGGGAAAGTGTCAGCCTTATTTAAAAAAAAAAAAAAAAAAAAAAAAGATCTGTAATGATCTGTAAAATAATGTTATATGTGATTGGCGCAATAAAAAAAATTCAAAGACAAAAAAAAAACCTGCTCTATGTAACGTTGAGCATTCAGGCTTAGGTCAGCAATCAAAAGGACTTTGCGCTCATTGCCCGACATTCCACCCAACACCGTGACGCTTCCAACGCCAAAACGAGCATGATGTTACAGGCGTCTTGTTAACGATCACCATGCCTTCGATTCACTTGCTTTCTGCCATCTTAACAATAGAGTGGCTATCGGGACTCATCCGTGAAAATGCCCTGTTGTTGTAGAAACTATCCTTCACGTCGTCTTGTCATTGCTGAGCTTCTTTGAATATGACGTCGGGTTAATCGAGGTATCAGATACGGTCGGCGAGAACGTAGACCTACCTCGGGCAGCGGATAGATTACAGTTAGTTGACTTATTAATGCGTCGGTGATTTGCGTTGTTGGAAGCAGTTCTTGCCATAACTGTCCGATTACGCAGATGACGTAATCACATATACATGTAGTAAACCTGACTACGTGACCTTATGCGTAGCCTTCCTGACCTTGGACAATCGGCCGTTGGACTTTAGTTGTAAACCTGACCCAAAGCCGCATGCATGAGCATGGATATGGTTAATCTGGCCGCATCGAACAGGGCGATTTCAGCGTACCGAACGGCTGACGTCATCAGGTCGTGGCATGACTTAATTGCCTTTGACGCCAAACTACTATGTGTTTTGTTTCTTTTGACTTAAATAAAAGTGTGTCCTGATACAAGGAACACATGTCCTTTTACAAACTTTGTGTTCAGATTACACATGTAAAACCTTCTCCTGACACTATATATAAGTATACATGACAGCATTAACAAATCGCAAGGATGTCTTATATATAATAATTGCAATGATGATAAAACGTTTCATATACCTACAAAATACCTGCTCATAAATAAATCATTCATTTGTTCATAAAAAATATTGTTCATAATTATTGATGCATCCATTGCATACCGGGTAATTTTTGCAGCAGTTTTATTTTAGTGTTGATTCAACACCAACTTCAAAAATAATCGAATATTTAAGTCCAGGCATTATCTTAGGATCAAAATTGAGTCTAAAAGCAAAACATAGTAACGGTGTAAAAGATAACAGCATTATTCCTTGGCCAATTACACATCGAACCTGCATATACCTGTTTAAACTTAGTAGTTTGTGTAATATGTTGACTCATTTTCTAGAGACGGTTCCAGCCAATCTGCATTGCGACATGGCGTTTTTAGCTAATACGTATTGCTCCTCTTCACACATAATTGCATTCTATCAGTGCATCGGTACAGTGTAACATAATAAATGTGAAAAACAGATTCGACGGGCGTGAACTGTTATCCGCAAAGGTTGAAAATATCAGCAGCATCTCACTAATTAATCTTTATTCATTAATATTTTTATAAACTGCCATAAATGCTTCATTTTAAACTATGTCATGATTCAATACCAATGAACATGTTTAACCTTCATCGTCATAGGCAAAATGACAAATGCCATTTCACACAAGATAACATTTCAACTTCAAAGAAGGCCATCATATACCAGTTTTAGTGCAACTAAAAAGGTTTGCCGAGAAGATTTCATGATTGTGTATTAATGTCTATATAGGTTAATCGAGTTTTAGAATAATTGTATATTTTGCTTGATTTTAGGGTTTGTAATAAAAATGCAATATTTAACATATTCCAGTTCCTGGTCGAAAACGCAGAGGAGCAGAACCAACAACATGTAAACATTTTAAGATTAGTTATATATCAAGCGAACACCATTTTAAAATGCATCCTACACAAATCTACTTTTATATTATTGTCGTTAACACTTTATATCTTTAGTGCTATAAAGAGTTAGTTTATCAAATTATAAAATCTGGCTTCTGACAAAACACACCTAGAATAAAATTAGTTAAATTAGTATCCTTGTCCCACTGCAATACAGTGTTTAATGCATAAAATAACCTACCCTTAACCTCCGTTTTGATATTACTGAAGCACATGGTCAAGGTACCTCAATTGGTTTCAGCGACAGTATAACAATATGAAGTTCAGGGATCAAATCGCAGTATGGCCGCGCAGATTATTGAGCACTTTGAACATGATTGTGATTATATTTTGTTTATTTAATATTCATAATGTTTTCATAAAAATCATGCAGGGTATAACTCTTCTTTTCAAAAATGATACATTAGAGCTATAGGCATTGCCGAAAATAAGTTTCAAGTGCATATTTTCATTTTTTTTCAGTGGTTTTGGGATTCTTAAGTTAGATAACATGTACATGTAGCTCATTGCGTCTCTCTATTCCATCTTGATTATCGCATCCTACCTAAATTGATTTCAAATACACTGCAGTGGAAATTTCACACGGGTCCGCTAAAAAACATCCTTATCATTTGTAAAAAGGAAACAATGTTCACTGACATTTCTAAATTAAACAAATTGCTGTTAAAGACACAATTTGTTTATAATTTTGGAAAGTGTTTTAGAAAACGTGGGAAAAAAAATGCTGAGAAATGATAGTAAGACAACAGTTCAGTTTTTTTGTAATCAAACGGACTGCAAAACGAATCCGCCTGAAATAAGATGCAATATATATATCTACTTTTTTATTCAAAATGGATAAACCTTCTTGAGTATTCAAATATTTTGACATTGACGACTGTACTTTAAAAATGACATTATCTTCGTTATTTGAATAATCATAATTAAACTACAGATCTTAGTCCATTTGCCTTTACCAAAAATAAGTGGAAGTTTCAAATGTATACGGCTAGCTCTGTGACTTGTTGGCAGTTCATTGCTAACTTTTCCACTTATACATTGTAACTATCAGTAAATATCTTATAAGGCTCAAAAAAGGGACATCTGATTTCTTGTGCATTTGTAAAGGTTTCCATTATTATATGTCCACAGCAATACAGCATAGATACATAAACCATACGTCAGAAAGCTATCAATCACAAATACTTTGAAACCTTGATAGTGGCATGCATGATTCCCCAACTGGCGTACACATGTCGTAGTTAATTGACTCTGTATTTTAGAGCTTACACCTTATATGATTTAAAACAAAAAAAATACTTGCAGACGGGTGTACAACACTGGATTTCAAAAGATATATGTTTTTGGTGCTATCATTAATTTTTTGGAAATAACATATTTCTTTGCGGGTTAATGGCTTGGAGTATGTTGATAAGGTTGCCTTTTGATTTCGTGTTCACTGCCATGGTACCCAGGTAACGGATGTGACATCTCTTTAACTTGACATAGATGTATGTTGCAGGTGTTGTCGATTAAGCAGAAACAAACATTTACTCGCCCGGAACCCCCTGTCTTTATTCGTTGGTATTTCCTCTATTTATTCTATTTTTAAAGTTTTACCATGTTAATCTCTCCTTTTTCATACTGTTGCCCTCTAAAACTATTTTGAACTTGAGTTACGGGTTTGTTCGCACATTGGTAAATCTTGTTTTTCATCATTTCGGCAGGTTACAATCCTAGTTTTAAAAAAGCCTTATAGAATGAAGCTTCCAGTGGTAGAACATCACACCAATTGGATATATTTACATTAACTACATGTATCCAACCGCCGCGCATAAGAAAGCGGATCATCAATGATTTTATGTTCTGTTATACAGCGTCACCAACCATTGCTGATTGTAATTTAACATGTGGAACTGGTCAAGTTTGCCGTTACAAATGTACAGGTAAAACATCGTTTAACATCTTTTTGGAAACATTGTTCTATTTAAAATTATAAAAGTTTCATTTCTTTTTAATAATGCAAAACCTTATAACTTCGTGATGTTTTGAAGTGTTATATACGCATAAAGTCGAATCAACCCCCTCCCCCCCCCCCCCCCCCCCTTTATGTCTTTTTTAACAAATACAAATATATCTCATTTCAAACTTAATGTACTGACGATATTTACATATTCTATTTGCACAGATGAAAGTGGATCCATTAAGCATGGACTGTCCCCTCTGGTCCTGCTAGTCGGAGTCTTCACCAAACTGTTTCTGGTCGGATAACTTGACTTGATAAAGGCGTTCTGCAAGTTGTTCTTTTGATTATATCGTGTCACAGGTAGCATGACGGATAACAACTATGTAGCAACAAACGTCTTTGTCGCAAGCATTGACTCTAATCAAGACGAGCTGCAACAAGAATCCAGACCAGACCCTTTGATAACATTGTGCTTGGAATTTACTTTGCAGTTAAATCTAGTGTATTTCAAAACATTTTGAACATTCATATTACAAAACAAAATACCAGAAGATCTCCGATACTTTGAGTTCATACCGGCAAAATTAACAAAATAATGAATAAACAAATAAACAAATGATATAAATATAAAAAATAAAAGCATAAAATTAACTATCATGATCAAAATACCCAAGGGATATATGTAAAGCAGCGCGGGAGACGGAGACATTAGCAATTCGAAATAAGGTATTTGTTTTCTTTTTCTTTTTGGAGAATGATGCCAATACCCTAAACAAAATCTTAGTACTGAAATCCCATTTGATAATCAAAATACATGCATTAATGAAAACATTTGCAATATATATTGTAATTGAACATATCCTAATGCAATTGTATTTTGGTGCGTGGTTGTACTTTAATAACATTATCAAAATATGTATTGTTGCATGGTTTTGCAATAAATGTATTAAATGATAACATATTCTTCATTTGTTATGTATAATATTTCAGCAAATACATTAAACATGAACCTGCAGTGTTTGATAATGTGTCTATATTAGATATAATTCTCTGATAAGATGTGTATGATACACAGGTTTATCTGTTAATGAGACTCTTGTACAAACCTATCCTCAGAGACGTGTAGATAGATGAAGGCATGGACAGGTTGTGTATGTATGTTTAAAGATATTCTATTTCCTTGAAGCATACAAGGGTCGATGTTTTTGTTGTCACTAAGCACAGTTAATTCTTGTGTATTTTCAAAGGTTTATTAATAATACACAACATTACGTTTGATGCCATGGCGAGTTACAATTAAATATCGTGACACTTTTGTAAATAGTCTTTGCTATTGAAATGAATATTATATTATATTTATTGTAATGATATCAACGTCTGTTGATATTGGGGTATCCTAGTTATTACGAAATAAAATTATCGAGATGAGTTCTCAATTCAAGTTTTTGTAATGTGTTCACCGTGTGTATCAAAATAATGTAATGTTTATGAGAGTATTTATTGCATTGGCTCCTGCATTTTGAGCATTTCTTGGAGGTTAAAGCTGCACGCTTTATTGATGTATTAGTTAATGCAAAGTTATTTCATTTTTGTTCAAGTCATTCCGAACAAAAAACGCATTTGTTCTTATTTTGTCCTCGTGCCATTATTTCCAGGTTACGAATCGCACCAAAGGAAATTCAAAATCACTTAAATTGTAGAATGTTGTAAAAAAAATAGTGATCGGCTTCGTATGATATATTAATCATAATGAAATCACATTTATTTAAACGCCAAAGAATAAAAAAAAACCCACTAATTCCTATTGTTAACCATCTGAAAAGAAAAGCTTATTTAAATATATCATATAAAATAATTAATTTTACATCTTATATATACTGATTTACTGTATAGGGTTTAACGTTCTATCAACAGCTAAGGCCATTTAATGACATGTTCTCATTTGTGTTGTGTTTGCGTGCACGCGTGTATGTGTGCCGGAGACAGGGTTTGTTTGTGTACTAGCACGGATCTGATTTCGACTTTATAGTGCTATTTCACCGAAATACCATAACCATCACCCAGCACAGTATCCCGCCAAGTTATATTATCTTGGCAATGAGTGAACCAGTTGTTGCCATCAACCTCAATGCTGCACGTTAAGCAGGGAAAACGACTATTATTTTTAAGGACTTTGGTATGTCTTGACCTGGGAACAGAACACATTTGCCTTGCTTACCTTGGCGAACGTTCAGAATTATTTTCGTATATTTATATATGTATATACATGTACTACATGTATTGGCATAGAGGTAATAACGACAGTAACATCGAAGGAATTTGATACATTTTAAGGTCAATCCACCCTCTTTTCAAGACGGAAACATGAACACTTACATATCACAACATATGTCAAAGATAAAAAGGCAATACGAAACGTAACGACAAAATATATTACATAAACGGAAACAAAGTAATCACTCTACCTGGTTGATGGATGTTATCCATATTAGGCTTTGTGCGTCCTTGGGCAAAAATAACTAAATTTTGTATAACAGAGGATGTGACCTCTCTGGCTGCAGAGGAGCGGGCCAAATAGGAGAATGTGAGGTATACATCTTTAAAACCTTCTTCCTCTGTACCATTGGAGGGATTGTATCCAAAATAGGCCTGGAGCATCCATGAAAAAGGGGGATTTAATTTTGGATACACGGAGGGTGTGGCCACCTTTTGGGCGGAGGAGTTGGGCCCAATAGCGGAAATTAAGGTATATCTTTAAAATCCTATTCGTTCAGTATGACTTGAGTTAGTGTAACATAATTCCGTCTAAAGAAATCATTTGGCAAGGGAGACTCTTTTTTTAACAGAGAGTGTAGTCCCCCTGGGAGCAAGAGTGGAAGGGTCCAGTAGGGAGAACATAGAAATACATGTTTAAATCTTTCTCCTTCAGTTTATTTGAAGGGATATTAACCAAATTGTGTGTAGAGCATCCTTGGGCAAAAGGGGCCAATAGGGGAAATTGAGATTAATGTTTAAAATCTTCCCCAATTGATGGAGGCAGAAAGAAGGGACCTAATGAGGGACGGGTGTTGCTGAGAGACAGAGCCAATATTTTCAAATAGTTGTTTTATGTTATAAAAATAATGTTCCATACTTGCCTTTATCTAAATATTATGGCATACATTTTACTAACTGTAACCTTATAGCTACATGTATATACTGGTATATGCATTACACAATTTGGATAGTGTGATAGCCATATTAGACATTACATATGCGTATTAGTAACAAAACAATCTAGTCCAATGTATACATACTCAAGCACAAGTTTATGCTAGACTCAAAAACGTGCAATACATATGTAATAGATCTATACGTAACCTGATGTATATATATATATAATATGATAAACATCAACGTTTGTAATCTTTATAGCACATTTATGTATGCAGTTTTGTAGCTGCAAATATGTATTAAAATATTGATAGAGTGTAGTAACCATATTAATCTTTAAATATTGTATTACAAAATTTGTTTAAGCTTTATTGGAATGCTAGCACTTCGGTCTACTATATGGTATTTTTAAAACCAGTATACCCGTGCACGAGCTTGCAGTAGACGGGAGGAAAACACATAGTATTATGTGTAATAAACTGGATGATCAGTGCAATGAGTAAATACGGATTAATTTATGTATGATACATAGTTGTTAACTTATTGATACATGTACGTAAATATATTTACATGTACACTATAGAAAAGGAATACACAATTTGAAAAGAAAAGAAAGAAAAATCTGCCAACAGTAGAAGTCGGGGTTTATACACTTCTCTGCAGTGATCACACTGCAGTACTACACATTCAGCGACTCTGCGTAAATGGTGGACCACCCTTAGTGGTGCGCACATGGGGTGCAGCTTTGGTCAAGTTCTTCGTAGGCTCAAAATCAATGTATCTTGACGCCCCAGCTACAGTACGGGGACCGTGCCTGGGACGATCGCGAGCCTCAAGATGGGGAGGGGATCAGGATACGCGGAAAGTTCGTCCATAGTGGTAACTTGGAACTTACTCCCGTTTAGATTCCGGATAACGATTCTACCATCGTTTGTCCATGTTCCCCCGATGAGTCCATGTTTTTTAAATACCGGGCCTTGGCGTATACTGCAGTGCGCTGTTTGGTCAGCGCCTCGTCGAAATAGAATCAGCTGCTGGCAGATGGGGCTACATGATCAGGTTCGGATGAGGTGGAAGTCCGACGCGATGGAAACAGACTAAATCTGGCATCATATACAAGGCCCCTTGTGCGATAAGATATGAATCTTACTATAATATAACGTGGATATGTAGAGGACTTTGGGCCTACCCGATGTGAGCGACCAATGCCATTGAGGGTCACCATGATACCCAGGCTATCATTAAATGCGTGTGTTTTCCCTTTCGGATTCGGGTATCCCCCTTAGTTTTAGGCAGTGCCTTCTCGAGTACTGTTCTAAATCATCCAACTTGTTCCCAAGGAACTGGACACGTTGCTGGAGTGGGGTGATACCTATGGAAGATACTAGCGTATCCTTGAATAGTGAGTTACTCAGTAACTGGGCGACACCTTTTCTGAATTACCACAGGATCGGTAATGTCATGTATAGTTTGGACACTTTTCTGAATATCCACGGACAATTTTACAGTATCCTCAAACATGATATAAGAGTTATATATGAACACGGGACACTTTAGCATACTATGGAGAGGAGAGATCCTTCAAATTCACATACAGTCCAAGTGGAAAAAATAAATATGGCGGGTAGTCACGAAGTGGTTAAGAGTGGTCACTTAAAATGTTCAAGGAGAATTTTCACTTGTTCAGGTAGAATAAACACAAGTCATTGTACACTGTTCAGATGTATGATCTTACCGGGACCTTTCATACATGTTAATATGGTCATGCTGAGTTTGGACACATATATCTGTCAAAAAACTTCTCATCTCATTATTCCAACTTGCTAGCTCGACCGGGACCTTGTGTTTAGGGGACATTGAGGAAACCAAGAATAAACCATACACCTGTTGTATCCCACTGCGTGTGTAAGGTTAAAGACGACTGACATGGAGCCCCTGCAGAATCGGGGGTTTTCCTCATTGCCTAATACTAAGAGTAGATAGATGCGACCATTAATCATGATCTGCAGACCCCATTACAACTCTTGGAAACTTTTTCGTTTCCTTTTTTCCTGTCTTATTTTTTTTTTTCCCTACGCACATTTCCCTCGTTTTTTTTATTACCTTCCTTTGTTTAGGGCTCAACGTCCTATTAATAGCTTAAGTCATCTTAGGAAGTGATATGATCCAAGAACTACATGACGTCAACAATAGCTTGACATCAAAGGACTATATATAATTTGGGCCTTTTTTGGACCCAAAATCCATCGAAATTTTAAATCTTAAATAGAACTTTCAAATGACTTTTTCATTCATTTTGAATACTTCCCCGGTACTCTTGTGTAACATTTATTTGTGTTTTCAATTATGACTGCTATGGTAACCAATTAATATTTGTATAAATTAATGGATTTGAATATTCAGTCAATTTTGACAGGTTTTCATCTTATTTTTCTTTTAGCTACTATAGGGTGCACGCTTGAACACATTTTATATTTCTCCATAAGACAAGTTTATACGCATTATCCTAAGATAGTAAGTTTGATCAAGCAAGCGCTCTATAATTTCGAGGGAAAAACCTATGCAAAATATGACAATACTCACTGAATCTTCTTCTTCTAATTAATGCAAATTTGAACTTGTTATCATGGCAAGTTGTAGGGTATTTCAACTCAACTGTTTTAATCGTTTTATCCTGCATTAAGCCAATCGGTGAATCGTCCAAAAAAGCCTACACTGTAGATAGCAAGCAAACACCGTTTCGGAAAGTTGAT